AAGCATCAATGAAATACTACAGAAATACATAATTACAAACAGATGAATACCACAAAAGAAATTTACACTATAAAACAGTATAGAGAAACCTGATGGAGTTTAGGGCAGACTGAGGAGGTGACTGTTGAGCCAATATCTGAGAGAAAAGTAGGAAGTCAAACAGGCTAACAGTAGTGAAGAAGGGGAAGTGGGGAGGAGAGTACAATCAGTGTTCCAAGCAGACAGAACAGCATAGGACTGTTCTGGCGGGAAAGGAGCTAGTCCATTTGGCTGAAGCTAGAGAAGGGGAAGCGTAGGGGAGAGGAGACTGGAGGGAGGCAGGCAGGCAGATTATCTAGGGCCTTGGCAATCTTCTTGAGGGTTTTGGACTTTATCCTGATAGCAGTGGTAAGTCACTGAAAGTTTTTTAGCAGAAGAGTAACAAGATCAAATTTGTATTTTGAAAAACTGGTTATAGGTTGGGCACGGTGGCTCACACTTATAATCCCAGCACTTTGGGAGGCCGAGGTGGGTGGATCAACTGAGGTCAGGAGTTCAAGTCCAGCCTGACCAACATGGAGAAACCCTATCTCAACTAAAAGTACAAAATCATCCCAGCTATTCAGGAGGCTGAGGCAGGAGAATTGCCTGAACCCAGGAGGCGGAGGTTGCGGTGAGCCGAGATCGTGACATTGCACTCCAGCCTGGGTAACGAGAGCGAAACTCCGTCTCAAAAAAAAAAAAAGTACAAAATCAGCTGGGTGTGGTGGCACATGCCTGTAATCCCAGCTACTGAGAGGCTGAGGCAGGAGAATCACTTGAACCCAGGAGGCGGAGGTTGCGGTGAGCTAAGATCACACCATTGTACTCCAGCCTGGGCAACAAAAGCGAAACTGCATCTCAAAAAAACTGGTTACAATGTGGAGAATTGTATGCGGATTAAACGGAGGCAAGAGAGTGTATGGTGAGACAGATTCAGAGGATATGCTCCTCTGAATTCAGGTCAATGGTATGCTCCCTCAACCTACTTGTTTTCCCAACATTACTTTAGCAGAAAGCAAAGACTTTAATTCTTACATAGTAAATGTGCATCAAATATTAGCTATTATTATTATCTATAGCTAGAGATAAAGGCTTAAAATTAATCTACCAGGAAGAATGAGTTCATTTGAGTGAAAGGATTTCATTGAAAGCAGGGATATGTGAATCAGATTCTTTTCTTTCTAGAACAGAGGGAGGGAGTTAGAGGAGTTTAATTAAAAGTGATACCACAGGCCAGGCGCAGTGTCTCACGCCTGTAATCCCAGCACTTTGGGAGGCTGAGGTGGGCAAATCACAAGGTCAGGAGTTTGAGACCAGCCTGGCAAGCATGGTGAAACCCTGTCTACTAAAAATACAAAAATAAGTCGGTATGGTGGCACATACCCCAATCTCTACTAAAAATACAAAAATTAAACAGATGTGGAGTTGGGCACCTGTAATCCCAGCTACCCTGGAGGCTGAGGCAAGAGAATTGCTTGAACCCAGGAGGCAGAGGTTACAGTAAGCTGAGATTGTGCCACTGCACTTCAGCCTGGGTGACAAAGAGTGAAACTCCATCTCAAAAATAATAATAATAACAATAATAGTAAATTACATAAAATAATAAAAATACAAAAATTAGCTGGGTATGGTGCCTGTAATCCCAGCTACTCAGGAGACTGAGGTAGGAGAATCACTTGAATCCAGGAGGTAGAGGTTGCAGTGAGCCGAGATTGCACCATTGCACTCCACCCTGGGCAACAAGAGTGAAACTCCATCTCAAAAAAAAAAGAAAGAAAGAAAGAAAAATAGGGAAATGTTATGAACAAACAAGAGAAAACTTAATGGCAAATAAATACTTGCAAAGATGTTCAATCACACTATTAAATATGGAAGTGTACACTATTAAATACAGAAATGTACAACAGTAACAATAGTTCACAGACATCAGATTGGCAAACATTTTTAAATTCTAGATATCAAAGTTAGAGAAAAAAATGGAATAATGGGTACTGTCTTTACTGCATGGTACTGTACTTGGTATAACCACTTTAGAGAGCATATTCAATCTAGCAATGTTGAGGATATATGTAAACTACAGCCTATTAATTATACTCCTTAGTGTGTCTTAGACATAAACAAGTCCAAGAATACTCACTGTAGAAGAAATGAACTGCTATCTGATATAATCATATGTATAATTTATCAGTCTTCAAGTTAGTGTCTTTTCTGCAGAATATTTGATTCTTCAAGAGGGCAGTAAGGACTTTATCCTATAGCCTACACTGTTTATTCTTCTTTTCCAGTACATCAGAGAGCAAAAATGTCCTGAGTTAATCCTTAGAGAGTCTTCTGGGCATCATCTTTTTCTGCAGAGACTGTGACACTAAGCCTGTAAACATATCATTCTCTATCCTATTTTAAAATTTAGTGAATAGGATGACATTTGACTGTTGTAAGTAACTTTTTCCCCTTGGAGCAGGAGAACACGATTCACATTTGTTATGATTTGTTCATCTATTTTACATTTTTTTATTCATGCCCACTGCCTTCTTTCAGAGGATGCAGTTAGCAATTTCAGCCGCTGGATGGTGCAAATTGACAAGAGTCCAATGAAAATTCCTGAATTATAGCCCAAGGTGCACCTGTTGCTGCACTGCACCAAGTGAAGGAGGGTGGGGTAGGGGAAAGACTTTCTGGATCTGAAATTTCAGTATAAACATGGATCCAGGCTCACTAGAAATTCAGATTAAGGGAAATTTTTAGAATTTGATCACTGACAAGTCGGGTCATTGAATAAGGAAAGATGAAAGAAAAGTGTAATGAAGAGGAAGAAAAAAAGGAACAAATAGTGAAATATGAGAGAAAATAAGTCTAAAAAGATGAATTCAAGTGTTAGTGACATAATATGACCCTTTACTGGTCTGCATTCCCTGGTAACTAATAGCAACTTCAATGTAAAAATAAAGCTTTCTTCATTGTCTTCTAGAAAGTCAGTTACGCTACCCTTAGCTTATCCATTTGGTGGTATGACATTATCAACAAATATTTTTAGTATCTACTATGACCATGGTGCTTTGTTGATACAAAGTAATACAGAGACATAGAAATTAACACAGATACCGGGCTTCAAGCAGAGAAGAACCAGTAAGTACATATAAGAAGATTAGTAATTCAAGGCAACCTGAGGGCCATTGTGTCAACTAAGAAAATGGAATACTTTTTGAGAGTGGGAGTGGAGTATTAGGGGGTTAGGGAGGAAAGGATCATAGGACCCTCAACCTGTCCAGGGCAAACAAAAAATAAAAAGATTTCTTCTGGCCTTTAGTCATAAGTACATGTAGCAACTCTTCCTTGGAAAATGGCTAGTTCTAGACATAGGAAAAGTGCTCTCGGTCAGAATCTGCTGGACGGTGCTGGACAGTCCTATATTAATAGGAAGGGGTGGGAGATATGAGGAAATAATGGTTAAGGCCAGTACCACCACTGAAACCACCATTGCACTAGCCTGGGGCACAGAAAAGGAAGTTTGTTAATGTCTTGTTCAGGCCTTTCAGAGCTCCAAAGTCCCAGGTCACTTTGATTTTTGAGATTACGGGTATATTTTAAAAAATGAAGTAATGGTAAAACACAGATATAAAATTGTTCTATATTTTATTTATTTATTTTTTTTATTTTTTGAGATGGAGTCTCACTCTGTCACCCAGGCCGGAGTGCATCTCAGCTCACTGCAATCTCCACCCCCCAGGTTCAAGCAATTCTTCTGCCTCAGCTTCTCCTGCCTCAGCTGGGATTATGGGTGCCTGGCACCATGCCCAGCTACTTTTTGTATTTTTAGTAGAGATGGGGTTTCACCATGTTGTCCAGGAAGGTCTCAAACTCCTGACCTCAGGAGGTCCACCCACCTTGGCCTCCCAAAGTCCTGGGATTACAGGTGTGAGCCACCGCACCCAGCTGTTGTATATTTTAAGTGTTTCTATCTAACAGAGCAATGCTTTTAATACACACACAAATATGGCTGTTTACTTAATGTCATTCAGCAATAACTTTAAAAGTTTAAATTGAAGTTTTTTTGAATGTGCCTTCTTTGCCCTAAGCAACTACCTATCTTAATCTTTGGGCCTATCAAAAAGTATTGGGGTGACATTGACCTTTTAAAAAGATGGAACAGTTTCTAGTTGCCTCTAAAACTTGAAAATAAACACAACTTCTGGAAATGTGGTAGTAATATATTAGCCAAGAAGAACAGATAGAGTTTTTTATTTTTTTTTGTTGTTTGGTTTTTTTTTGAGATGGAGTCTCATTTGTCGCCTAGTCTGGAGTGCAGTAGCGTGATCTCGGCTCACTGCAACGTCCGCCTCCTGGGTTCAAGCAATCTCCTGCCTCAGCCTCCTGAGTAGCTGGGATTACAGGCACCTGTCACCACGCCTGACTACTTTTTTGTATTTTTAGTAGAGATGGGGTTTCACCATGTTGACCAGGCTGGTCTCAAACTCCTGACTCAAGTGATCCACCTGCCTCAGCCTCCCAAAGCACTTGGATTATAGGTGTGAGCCACCATGCCCGGCCAACTGACTGCATATTAACCAGTGTTAATGATTATCTCTGGGAAGAGAGATTAGGTATTACTTTTATTCTTTATACTTTTGAGAATTTTCTTTCTTTCTTTTTTTTTTTTTTTGAGACAGAGTTTCGCTCTTGAACCGCAACCTCCGCCTCCTGGGTTCAAGCAATTCTCCTGCCTCAGCCTCCCTAATAGCTGGGACTATAGGCGCGTGCCATCATGCCCAGCTAATTTTTGTATTTTTAGTAGAGATGGTGTTTCACCTTGTTGACCAGGATGGTCTTGATTTTTTTCTTTTTTTTTTTTGCATTTTAGGTTTTGGGGTACATGTGCAGAACATGCAAGATAGTTGCATAGGTACACACATGGCAGTGTGATTTGCTGCCTTCCTCCCCTTCACCCACATCTGGCATTTCTTGACCTCGTGATCCACCCGCCTCAGCCTCCCAAAGTGCTGGGATTATAGGCATGAGCCACTGCGCCCGGCCCTACTTTTGAGAATTTTCTAAAATTTTTTATAATGAGAATGTATGTTAATAATTATAAAAACAAAGTGTAGTAGGTTAATAAGAAAGAACTTGCAACAGAAACAGTGAATAAGGCTAGGTACAATGGCTCACGCCTGTAATCCCAGCACTTTGGTAGGCCAAGGTGGTTGGATCACTTGAGGTCAGGAGTTCGAGACCAGCCTGACCAATATGGTGAAACCCTGTCTCTACTAAAAATACAAAAATTAGCCAGGCAGTGCTGGTGCACACCTGTAATCCCAGTTACTCAGACTGAGGCAGGAGAATTGCTCAAACTCAGGAGGCAGAGGTTAACAGTAAATTGAGATCACACCAGTGCACTAGAGCCTGGGCGACAGTGTGAAACTCCATCTCAAAAAAAAAAAAAAAAAAAAGAATCAGCGAATAATTTTACATGAATAATCGACACTTCCACAGAAACAGTGTTTTATCAAGTTGTGTATAACTTGGTCTATAATGGTGACACTAGAAATGGTGCCATGTGCAGATTTAAGTCCACATCCCGAAGCCCACACAGGAGTTCTTTCTCCTCTGCCATCTCTCTCATCTCTGTTTTTAAAGATCTTCACTTGCAAGGGAATATGGGACTTGAAGTTTTTAACTGATTAGGGAGTCAGAAAATCCTCAGAAAGGTCTTTCTTTGTCAGGGAAAACAAATTGTCCCCAAAGCAAAATAATTTTGATTCTGTCTGTTAATTTCTGTAAAGTCACTACAAATGTACAAATGTTACCCAAATTATACTTTTTTTTTTTTTTTTTTTTTTTTTTTTCTCTGTCACCCAGGCTGGAGTGCAATGGTACAATCTCAGGTTAAGCAATTCTCATGCCTCACTCTCTGGAGTAGCTGGGATTACAGGCACCCACCACTATGCCTGGTTAATTTTTGTATTTTTAGTAGAGACAGGGTTTCACCATGATGTTCAGGCTGGTCTCAAACTCCTGGCCTCAAGCCATCTGCCTGCCTCAGCCTCCCAAAGTGCTAGGATTACAGGCTTGAGCCACCATGCCCAGCCTCCAATTACACTCTTGCAGACGAGTTGATGAGTGTAGACTTTGCCATAGGTTTTATCTCCTGGGAAATCTTGTGTTTCAGGATTAAGGGACATTCAGCGGTGGATGAGGTTGGGAAGGATGAGGATGCATGTAGGCATTAGTTTTGGATCAAGAGCTTCTAAGTATATAATGCTTTTAATCATCCTCACCAGTGGTCTTGGGAAAGAGCAGGCATTTTTTTCTTTCTTTCTATTTTATGGTCAAACTAAGTCATAAATGGCAAAATAAACTTGAGGCAACATTGTGGATCAGAGGCAGGATGCAAATAATATACTCATCCGTCCAAATGCCAACCTCAGTGCTCTTTCTTCTTTATCTATCATATTTTCAATGGAAATTTAGAGGTTCTTTTTTTTTTTTGAGATGGAGTTTTGCTCTTGTTGCCCAGGCTGGAGTGCAATGGTGCGATCTCTGCTCACTGCAACCTATGCCTCCTGGGGTTCAAGGAATTCTCCTGCTTCAGCCTCCCCAGTAGCTGAGATTACAGGCACCCTCCACCATGCCCAGCTAATTTTTGTATTTTTAGTAGAAACACGGTTTCACCATTTTGGCCAGCCTGGTCTCAAACTTCTGACCTCAGATGATCCACCCACCTTGGCCTCCCAAAGTGCTGGGATTACATGCATGAGCCACCACTCTTGGCCCAGGGGTTCTTTAGGGACTTTTGAAACATGTCCTCATTATCCATGCTTTATATCTGTTCTGTCTCTTCCAGGCTGAACTTGAATTTTTTTTATTTGAGATGGAGTCTTACTCTGACACCAGGCTGGAGTGCAGTGGCACAATCTTGGCTCACTGCAACCTCCGCCTCCCAGTTCAAGTGATTCTTCTGCCTCAGCCTCCTGAATAGCTGAGACTACAGGCATGCGCCACCAAGCCCAGCTAATTTTTGTATTTTTTAGTAGAGATGGGTTTTCACCATGTTGGTGAAAGAGATCTCGAGATCAAGATATCTCGATCTCTTGACCTCGTGATCCACTTGCCTCGGCTTCCCAAAGTGCTGGGATTACAGGCATGAGCCACCGCACCTGGCCTGAACTTGAATACTAAATAGAGCCTTAGAGTGAGATTTTCTCCTGTTGGTATTGTTTTGATAATCACTTTTTGGATAGCACTTGAAGCAAAAGAAAGAAGGATACAGTTTATACATATATATATATATATATATATATATATATATATATTTTTTTTTTTTTTAACCAGAGAACTAAGAAAACAAAATTACTTCGAAACAGATACATTTTACCAAAATGAAATGAAACGGTTTCAGACTCAGGAAAAGAAGCAGGGCTTCACCCTGTCTTATCCCTCCTGACATTTCCTTTTTCATCTGAACATTGATTCAAGATCAGCTGGTTCCACTTTCTCACCAAACTCTTACTGAAGCAGGTTAGATTTGACTCATAACTATGCTCCTGTGAGAAACAGCATCATCATAGTTATTTTGCTCTGGAACCCTTGTCCAAACGGTATGCAGCTCTCTATTAAAGTATGATATAATGTCAGAGCCACTTTAAGAATTCTGGATGGTCAGAATACTTCACTTGGCTACTAATGGTCTGTAGTCCCTGAACCCCTTGGGGATAACTTATGAGGAAGACTTTTGGAATGTTCAGGGTCAAGTTCCCTTCAGCAGTGTGTTGATAGGTACCTGTAGTGGCAGAAACTATAAAATCTTATAAACGTCAACCAGAGAGAGCAGGAGTCCTACTGTAAGCTAGTTGAGAGCCAGTGAGCATGAAGTCAGCTAAGATAACAAAGGAGTTGGAAGCTGTGTCACACTAACAGCTGCCTTGTTCCTTGAAGGCTGTCTTTGAGTCATCTGTCAATGAGAGCAATAAGGTTCATTCATAGTGCTTGGAGGGAAGGCTTTTTGTTCTCATTTGAGGGGATGGGAAGATATCCATTTTGATGGCTGTATGAAGTGAATTACAGAAGGCTGTGGCTCACACAGGAGCATAAGGGTAACTCTGCTAAGCCCATGCTCTCCCTTCATTAACCAGGAAGTGCTGTTTGATTGTAGTGTCCCTGCTGAAGATATGAGTGTAAAATTGGCAAGAATCTGCCCATATTAATAGGGAGAAGACTGTGTAGTATCATTCATTCAATGTGTGAGACAGCAGAACTTTTCAGAAGTATGTCTGGTGGATAACAGTGATCCCTGCAGCTTTCTTTGGGTTCAATGAGTTGGCAGCATCTTGTCCAACCTAGAGGTTGAAAGGAAATATGAAAGTTAAAAGAGGATGCAAGTGTATAGTTCTTCATGTGCCAAGAAAAGTGCTGGCTAAGTACAAAACCCCATGTCATTCCAAGTGCACTTGATGTTGCCTCTTTGTTAATCAGTAATTACCCTGAGAACATATGGATCAAGGTGCACATAGGTATGAAAACCTATAATTGCTTGGAACCTATAACCCACTAGCAAAGTAATTAAAAGATCTGGATCATAGTTCTGTTTCTACAAGCTGTATAATGATGGGTGTCACATAACCTCTTCAAACTTCAACTTAAGTATGAGTAAAATGTAGATACTTGCCCTGGCTACTTTCCAGGATTTCTGTGAGGCTCAAATAAGATAATGTTTATAAAATTGTTATCTTAGTACTATTTTTATTCCTTTATCATTTAGTAGCCTATTGTGTTCATAGACATTTAATCACGGTTGTGGCCATGTGGTTATCCCCCCTAATTCTAATTCTGAATTTGTAGTTCTCTTTAGGCCTATTTCTTCCAATGTTGAGGAGAAATGATAATGTTCTTTTTTTTTTTTTTTTTTGATACAGCGTCTCACTCTCTTCTCCAGGCTGGAGTGCAGTGGCTCAATCATAGCTCACTGCAGCCTTCAACTCCTGAGCCCAAGTGATCCTCCCACCTCAGCCTCCCAAGAAGCCTGGACTACAGGCATGTGCCACCAGCTGGCTATATATATATATATTTATAGAGACAGTATCTTGCTATGTTGCCTAGGCTGGTCTCAAACTCCTGGACTCTAGCAAGCCTCCTACCTCTGCCTCCCAAAGCACTGGGATTGCAGGCATGATGAACCAGGTCTGGCTTTAAAAATCTTAAAAGTGGCCAGGCGTGGTGGCTCACGCCTGTAATCCCAGCACTTTGGGAGGCTGAGGCAGGTGGATCACGAGGTCAAGAGATCGAGACCAACCTGGTCAACATGGTGAAACCCCATCTCTACTAAAAATACAAAAAAAAAAATTAGCTGGGCATGGTGGTGCATGCCTGTAATCCCAGCTACTCAGGAGGCTGAGGCAGGAGAATTGCCTGAACCCAGGAGGCGGAGGTTGCAGTGAACCGAGATCGCGCCATTGCACTCCAGCCTGGGTAACAAGAGCAAAACTCCATCTCAAAAAAAAAAAAAAAATCTTAAAAGTAAGATTCTTGACTCCAATCTAAATGATCTGATTGAGTTTATATGGGGCCCCGAGGTATGGTATTCAATAAGCACCCTATTGTGTTATGGCTGGACTGATGTTAGGGAAACAGTAGCATAAAATCCTACCTATTTTCTGACATAAAAAAAATTACCCACATTTGCTTATAACTGAAGCAGCTTCCTGTTCCCAGCACATTAAAAAAATATATTTTTTCATGGTCCTCTCAGGGATGAATTTAGCACTTATATATTAACTCCATTTTCTTTTTCTTTTTATTTTTTTGAGACGGAGTTTTGCTCTTGTTACCCAGGCTGGAGTGCAATGGTGCGATCTCGGCTCACCGCAACCTCCGCCTCCTGGGTTCAGGCAATTCTCCTGCCTCAGCCTCCTGAGTAGCTGGGATTACAGGCATGCGCCACCGTGCCCAGCTAATTTTTTGTATTTTTAGTAGAGACGGGATTTCACCATGTTGACCAGGATGGTCTCGATCTCTTGACCTCGTGATCCACCCGCCTCGGCCTCCCAAAGTGCTGGGATTACAGGCGTGAGCCACCACGCCCAACCCTATCTTTTTCTTTCTTTCTTTTTTTTTTTTTTTGAGACAGAGTCTCACTGTGTTGATCAGGCTGGAGTGCAGTGGTGCAATCTCGGCTCACTGCAACCTTCACCTCCCAGGTTCAAGCGATTCTCCTGCCTCAGCCTCCTAAGTAGCTGGGATTACAGGCACATGTACCACATTCAGCTAATTTTTGTAATTTTAGTAGAGACAGGTTTTCACCATGTTGGCCAGGCTGGTCTCCAACTCCTGACCTCAAGGAATCCACCTACCTTGGCTTCCCAAAGTGTTGGGATTACAGGCGTGAGCCACCGTGCCTGGCCTTTACCCTACTTTCTTTTTATTTTATTTTTATTTAAAAAAAATTTTTTTAAGAGACGGGGTCTTGCTCTGTTGCCCAGGCTGGAGTGCAGTGGCTATTCACAGGCGCGATCCCACGACTGATCAGCATGGGAGTTTTGACCTGCTCCATTTCCGACCTGGGCCTGTTCACCCCTCCTTAGGCAACCTGGTGGTCCCCTGCTCCCGGGAGGTCACCATATTGATGCTGAACTTAGAGCAGACACCTTATCGGCATAGCACACTACAGCCCAGAACTCCTGGGCTCAAGCAATCCTCCCACCTCAGCCTCCCGAGTAGCTGGGACTACAGGCACATGCCACCGCGCCCGGCTACCTCACTTTCTTTAAGCAAATGATATAAACCACATGGAGAATACTTTCCTTCTGTGGCTGAGAATCAGGCTTGAATTCATCTGTCACAGGTGGCTGGCCTTGCTTCCTTTCCCATCTCCACAGCCACTGGCATTGGCACAGCTCCCTAGCTCGTAGGCATTGACCCTGAAGGGAGAAAATGACTGGTATTAATGTTAAGTGGCTGGTAGTATTTGGTTTTCTTCCAAACCCCATGTTGGGCAACTTAAAGGAAGTCATCTCTTCTAAATAAAATATTCAGTCCTATTGGACCTATCCTTCCTAGAAAATGTCTAATTACAGCAGAGGAAAGGAAGTTGCATTTAGCGAGCACCTCTGTGCCAGGCACCACCTTTCACACAGGATCTCAATCTTCATCACTACTATGAGAAGCATATATCATGAGACTTATTTTATACATGAGGCCACTGAGGTTAGAAAAGTCAAACAAGACTAGGCGTGGTGGCTCACGCCTGTAATCCCAGCACTTTAGGAGGCCAAAGCAGGTGGATCACGAGGCCAGGAGTTCCAGACCAGCCTGGCCAACATAGTGAAACCCTGTCTATACTAAAAATACAAAAATTAGCTGGGTGTGGTGGCACATGCCTGTAGTCCCAGTGACTTGGGAGGTTGAGGCGGAGAATTGCTTTAACCTGGGAGGTGGAGGTTGCAGTGAGCTGAGACCACACTACTGCACTCCAGCCTGGGTAACTGAGTGAGACTCTGTCTCAAAAAGAAAAAAAAAAAAGAGGTAGAGTCAAACAATTTTCCCAAACCACTCAGCTAGTGAGTGTCAGCGGCAGATCTATCCCAATGCCAAAGTCTATGCTTTTCTCATTATGCCAAGCTGCCTCTGTAACAAAAGAAAGTCTTTATAGATCAAGTCCAATGATTTAATACATCAGGAAACTTACAGGGCATGGGACTTCAAAAATTATAAATACTATAATGGCGATTCCACTGATCAACAGGGTGACAGCAATCAGAATTTTGACCACAATACTCCATTTCTTTCTCTTCTCTAGGTTCTCATCTGTGTCTAGGAGAGAGGGGAGTGGAAGAGGGAGAGAAGAGAATTTGAGAGAGGGAAGAGATTGACCCTTTGACTTGAAGTTCTTCTGGCTCACAAGAATAATACAGGCCCAGCCTGACCCAGAGGCAGAGGCTGAATTTCCAATTCAAACTCAGGGTTGGAGGGGATAGGAGTGAGCTGAGCATCATGGACTCTGCTCTAACCTCTTTTGCAGCCTCTTCCCAATAAGTCACCTTCCCTGGAATTGGAGATTTTCCATAATCACATAGGGCTGATTCTTACATTGTTCTCAGGAAGAAAAACCTTGGGTACACAAGGAGTTCTAAACGTCTTTCACTGTCAGCTTTATCAGGGTTCCTACCATTTTGCTCTGACACATTTTATGGGATTAGAAAATCACCTTTCCTGTGTTTCCCTTGGCTTTTATGGGGTATAAGAGGAAGAAATGTAAATTGGCACTGCTTCTGGGTCAGAAGCTCAATGTGGCAGCAAATGGCTAATAGGCATTTTTTTTTCTTACTCTGTCACTCAGGCTGGCATGCAGTGGCACCACCTTGGCTCACTGCAGCCTCAATCTCCCAGGCTCAAATCATCCTCCCACCTCAGCCTGCTGAGTAGCTGGTACCACAGGTGCATGCCACTATGCCCAGCTAATTTTGAAAATTTTTGTACAGAGTCTCATTATATTTCCCACTGAGCTTGAACTCCTGGCCTCAAGTGATCCTACAGCCTTGGCCTCTCAAAGTGCTGGAATTACAGGTGTGAGCCACCTCACCCAGCCCTTATATGCATCTTGTTATTACTAATATCATATTTTTTTCCTCTGGTAGAAACTAGGATGTAACCCAAATTGGAATCTTATAGAATTTGAGTCTTGGCCAATTTAAGGAGGGCTGTTGCTAAAAAAAAACAAACAATGAAGCAGGCTTTGTGCGGTGGCTCATGCCTGTAATCCCAGCACTTTGGGAGGCTGAGGTGGGCAGATCACTGGAGGTCAGGAGTCTTAGAACAGACTGGCCAACATGGTGAAACCCGTCTCTACTAAAAATACAAAAATTGGGCCGGCTTTAGCTCAGTGGTTACTTCGACAATGCTTTCTATGGTGGAAACACAAAAATTAGCCAGGCCTGGTAGTGCATGAGAATCTCTTTGCATAGTTTGCAAGTTTAAAAAAGAAAAAGAAAAAAGAAAAAAAACAGTGAGGATGAAAATATTCTCTTGGGGCTGGCCATGGTTGGTAGGTAATGTCTGTAATCCCAGCACTTTGGGAGGCTGAGGTGGGAGGATCACCTGAGCCAAGGAGTCTAAGACCAGCTTGGACAATATGGCAAGACCCTGTCTCTAAAACAGTTTGAAAATTAGCCAAACACAGTGGCACGCACCTGTAGTTCCAGCTACTCAGGAGGTTGAGGTGGGAGATTCACTTGAGCCCCAGAGGTCGAGGCTGCAGTGAGCCGTGTACTGCACTCTAGTCTGTGTAACACAGCAAGACCTTTTCTCACAAAAAGAGAGAGAGAAGGAAAGAAAGGAAGAGAGAGAGAGAAAAGAAAGAAGGAAGGAAGGAAAGAAAAAGAGCAAAGCACTTGGTTGGTGTCATCACTCTTATAATTGTTTAGCATTTAAATATAGTCCATCTATATAGACAGTGGCTAGAATTACCTACTACAGGAATACTGTTTTTTCTGTCCCTAATTCTGGCTACAGGGTGAGCTCATCTGCGTGGAGATAAATGATCATTGATAGTGTCAAATTACAAACATTTCTGGGACCTTCTTTATAGAGAAGCTATTTTTTTCTTTCTTTTCTTTTATTTTAAGTCGAGGTTTCACCATGTTGGTCAGGCTGGTCTTGAACTCATGACCTCAGGTGATCCACCCGCCTTGGCCTCCAAACTGCTTGGATTACAGGCGTGAGCCACCATGCCCGGACAATTTTTTTTTTTTTAAGATGGGGTTTCACCATGATGGCCAGGGTGGTCTTGAACTCCTGACCTCAGGTGATCCACCCACCTCAGCCTCCCAAAGTGCTAGGATTACAGGCGTGAGCCACCATGCCCAGCGAGAAGCTGTATTTTTCTATAAGAAATGGAATGATTTTTCAATGTACATTCAGTAACTTCTCAACCTTAAGAAAAATGTCAGTAGACTCAGACTAACGTTGGAGCTAAAAATGTTTCTTTTTCTGTTCTTGTTTTACTTCTACTTATTTTGTACTTTGTCATTCAAAGCTAGAAAAATTACCAGTACTTGTAGTTTTCTCTCCTTCTTTATTCCCAGAAGTTATGGAAGGGGTAGTGGTAGAAAAAGTCTCTGATGAAGCCCTCATCACTGGATAGACTTTACATTGCGAGATCCCTGGTAAAAAAGCTACAAAACAAAATAGAAAAGATGAAATGACAATTTTAGGAGAAAACTTTATCCTGCATTTGATTTTACCTGATCAAACCCTACCCAGCTGATAGTAAACTTCTAATTGTGGTCCTATTAACCTGTCTGTCCATAGGTTTAGGGTGTGGGCACAATATTATGCCAAGAGTAAATGAGGATAGAGATACTAATAAGAGATATGGATTAAATCCCCGTAAGACTTGTGACTATCATAGGATCAGAGTGAAGGAGTGGACCATATCTTGTTTGCCTATCATTCTTTAGGTCATAATAATAATAAAGATGGAGGGCGGAAAAACTATTGAAAGTTTCCTTCTTTAAAAAGCGATGGCTCCAAAGTCCAAGGAAGAACGTGAAATATCACAATTAACCTTCATGACTTCTGCAAGTGTGTCTAGTAGAATCTAAGTCAACTACTCTGAGAGGGGATTGGGGAAAGCAGGAGGAGCTGGAAGAAGGAAAACCACCCAGCTTCATGCACTCCTTGATTGCATTCATTCAGCATTTTTTTTTTTTAAGACAGGGTCTCCTTCTGTCAGCCAGGTTGGAGTGCAGTGGCATGATCTTGGCTCACTGCAACCTCCGCCTCCGGGGTTCAAGTGATTCTCATGCCTGAGCCTCCCACGTAAGTGGGAATACAGGTGCACTCCACCACGCCCGGCTAATTTTTGTATTTTTTGGTAGAGATGAGGTTTCACCATGTTGGCCAGGTTTTCTCAAACTCCTGACCTCAAGTGATCCACCCACCTCGGCCTCCCAAAGTGCTGGGATTACAGGTGTGAGCCACTGTGCCTGGCCTGGCTTTACTTTCAAAAGATCTCCGGGGCTACTGTATTGGGAATGGGCTAGGGGTGGGCAAGGGTAGAAGTAGGGTAACCTGTTAGGAGGCTGTTGCAAAAGTCCAGTAGATGATGTGATTCACACCAGCAGTGGAAATGATGGGAGGTTGAAGGAGTCTAGCTGGACTCTGGAAATAACCTTACTTGTCTCCAGAATTGACCTAATCCAATTCAGATAGTGTGGTTCCTGTTCCATTTTTAGTAGTCTCATGTCATTACTTATTAAATTAAGGTCTGTAAGTTCTACTTGACTTTGCTAAATTACTCTTCCATGTCTTAAGTCCATGGGAAAATGATAGTTCTTTAGCTCAGAGGCCAGTGGCCATAATAGACACTGTACATGAAATTATAGGGGAAGAAGTAATCCCTGATTCCAGTTTAATCAGGAAGACAGTGTCAGCAGAGATTGGCAGAGACAGACATAAAGTCAATGTATTCAAAAGGAAAAACAAGAACATGTTTAGCATAGTGCTAGTCAGTTATTTGAAGTGATAATTTATCTATTTTAGCTAAAAATAAACAAATATCGGATGCTAGCCAGACAAAGTCTCCAGTGGCATAGCGCGCAGCGCTCACTCGACTTGTCTCAGAGCCCCGAAGTCTGCCCAAATTTTGAGTGTGGCCATGAATGAGGTTGTATAAGAGTAAGATTGACAGTAGTTTTGATTGTGATTGTGGTGAGCTGGAGCCACCTGATCACTAACAGAAGACATTTGTTAACCGCCAGCCACCAGGGCTTCCTGTTGAAATATATAGCAACAACGGAAGAAAAGAAGCAAAACAGAAATAGTGCTTACCACCGCCTTAGAACGATGCTGCTCAGGACCAGTCCAACACTGATTGTATCTGCACTATGAGGAGAATGTTCATAGAAGCCTATTGTGTGCATATTTATTCACATTTTTGTTAAATGTTAAATTGTTTAGCACAGTAATCTGAGTGCATAGTATGTCATTTCATTCCATTTGAGTTTCTTGAGTGTTTTCTTTAAATGTCTGCTGAGTTGCTGCCCCTTTCTTGAACCATGAGAACTGCAGTCTTTTTTTTTTTTTTTTGAGACGGAGTTTCGCTCTTATTACTCAGGCTAGAGTGCAATGGCGCAATCTCGGTTCACCACAACCTCCGCCTCCTGGGTTCAAGCAATTCTCCTGCCTCAGCCTCCCGAGTAGCTGGGACTACAGGTGCACGCCACCATGCCCAGCTAATTTTTGTCTTATTAGTAGAGACAGGGTTTCATCTTGTTGACCAGGATGGTCTCGATCTCTTGACCTCGTGATCCACCCGTCTCGGCCTCCCAAAGTGCTGGGATTATAGGCATGAGCCACGGCGCCCGGCCCTGCAATCTTTTTAATTCTCAATATGAGTAGAGCTTTTTGAGCTTTAAATCTAAGGGGAACTCAAAAGGCCTGTTTGGCATATGCAATGAACATCAAGAAACCATCTTTCTGTGGAAGCATAATTATTTTTCTTCTCCTTTTTGAAAGATCTTTCCTTTTGATGCCAGTTTTCTTCCTTGTTTTCACAAGTTCAGCAATTCAAAAGAAAAAGGCGATAGTAAGGGTTTCAAACTGGCAGAGAAATTTGGAAGTCTCATGAACAATTTATGGTTTTGATCTGGGTTCTAGGTATATGGACTTAAAACCATTGAGTTGTGGAGGCAATGGCTTGGTTTTTTCTGCTGTAGACAATTACTGTGACAAAAGAGTAGCCATGTAGAAAATTGTACTTACCGATCCCCAGAGTGGCAAACATGATGTACATGAAATCAAAATTATTAGAAGACTTGATCATGATAACATTGTGAAAGTGTCTGAAATTCTTGGTCCCAGTGGAAGCCAATTAACAGACGATGTGGGCTCTCTTACAGAGCTGAACAGTGTTTACATTGTTCAGGAGTACATGGAGACAGACTTGGCTAATGTGCTGGAGCAGGGCTCTTTACTGGAAGAGCATGCCCGGCTTTTCATGTATCAGCTGCTATGGGGGCTCAAGTATATTCACTCTGCAAATGTACTGCACAGAGATCTCAGATCTTTTCATTAATACTGAAGACTTGGTGCTGTAGATAGGTGACTTTGGTCTTGCACAGATCATAGATCCTCATTATTCCCATAAGGGTCATCTTTCTGAAGGATTGGTTACTAAATGCTACAGATCATCACATCTTTTACTTTCTCCTAATAATTACATGAAAGCCATGACATGTGGGCAGTAGGCTGCATCTTTGCTGAAATGCTGACTGGTAAAACCCTTTTTGCAGATGCAAATGAACTTGAACAGATGCAGCTGATTTTAGAATCTATTTCTGTTGTACATGAGGAAGATCGTCAGGAGCTTCTCAGCGTAATTCCAGTTTACATTAGAAATGACATGACTGAATCACACAAACCTTTAACTCAGCTGCTTCCAGGAATTAGTAGAGAAGCACTGGATTTCCTGGAACAAATTTTGACATTTAGCCCCAAGGATCAGTTAACAGCAGAAGCAGCGCTCTCCCATCCTTCATGAGCATATATTCTTTTCCAATGAATGAGCCAATTTCAAGCCATCCTTTTCATATTGAAGATGAAGTTGATGATATTTTGCTTATGGATGAAACTCACAGTCACATTAATAACTGGGAAAGGTACCATGATTGTCAGTTTTCAGGGCATGATTGGCCTATACATAACAACTTTGATATTGATGAAGTTGAGCTTGATCCAAGAGCTCTGTCTGATGTCACTGATGAAGAGGAAGTACAAGTTGATCCCCGAAAATATTTGGATGGAGATGGGGAAAAGTATCTGGAAGATCCTGCTTTTGATACCAGTTACTCTACTAAGCCTTGTTGGCAGTACCCAGATCATCATTAAAACAAATACTGTGATCTGGAGTGTAGCCATACTTGTAACTACAAAACTATGTCATCATCATATTTAGATACTTTTGTTTGCAGAGAGAGTGAAGTTAACCATTACTATGAGCCCAAGCTTATTATAGATATTTACAAATGGAAAGAACAAAGCAAAGAAAAATCTGATAAGAAAGGCAAATCAAAATGTGAAAGGAATGGATTGGTTAAAGCCCAGATAGCACTGGAGGAAGCATCACAGCAACTGGCCAGAAAAGGGAAAAGAATCAGGGATTTGATTTTGATTCCTTTATTGCAGGAACTATTCAACTTAGTTCCCAACATGAGCCTACTGATGTTGTTGATAAATTAAATGACTTGAATAGCTCAGTGTCCCAACTAGAGTTGAAAAGTTTGATATCAAAGTCAGTAAGCCAAGAAAAACAGGAAAAAGGAATGGCAAATTTGGCTCAATTGGAAGACTTATACCAATCTTCTTGGGACAGTTTGTGAGTGGTGGGGAGGACTATGAGAAGGAAAACACTTACACTAGTTACCTGGACAAGTTCTTTAGTATGAAAGAAGATACTGAAATGCTAGAAATGGAGCCCATAGAGGATGGGAAGCTTGGGGAGAGAAGAAATGAGGAAGGATTTCTGAACAACAGTGGGGAGTTCCTCTTTAACAAGCAGCTCGAGTCCATAGGCATCCCGCAGTTTCACAGTCTAGTTGGGTCACCACTCAAGTCAATACAGGCCACCTTAACATCTTCTGCTATGAAATCTTCCCCTCAAATTCCTCACAAAACATACAGCAGCATTCTGAAACATCTGAACTAAAACACTCAGCAGACATTTATCTTTGTATTCTTCATGAAATGTGTGTTTTGTCTTTTTTTATTACTAGTGTAGAAGTCATTTTTTACTTGAATCAGATGGTGCCATTTAGTAAGGATTTTATTAGTTCTTGGTTTTTAAAATCCAGATCTTCTTTTCCTACTTGTGAGATAGTTTTCATTTTAACTGGCATGTCATTTGCACACAAAAATAAAGACTAAAGCAAAATAATGCAACGCAGGAGGAAACAAAAGCAATGCGCTAAGACAAGTAAAGAACATTCTCTCATAGAACAATGATCTGTTTTACAGGAAACAAATCTTGCCTTGAAATTGACACAGTGAGACTGTACATAATTGCATGAAAATATCTGTTTTTTCCGAAGACATTTTTCATTCCTGAGTATTTTCAAGTTTTTCTTTTTTTTCTTTTTTTTTTTTTTGAGATGGAGTTTTGCTCTTGTTACCCAGGCTGGAGTGCAGTGGTGAGATTCGGCTCACCACAACCTCCGCCTCCCAGGTTCAGGCAATTCTCCTGCCTCAGCCTCCTGACTAGCTGGGATTACAAGCACACGCCACCATGCCCAGCTAATTTTTTGTATTTTTTTAGTAGAGATGGGGTTTCACCATGTTGACCAGGATGGTCTCGATCTCTTGACCTTGTGATCCACCTGCCTCGGCCTCCCAAAGTTCTGGGATTACAGGCTTGAGCCCCGCGCCCGGCCAAGTTTTTCATACTATACACATTTCTTAAAACACATGATACCAGCAGAAACTGAAAATGAATGCTGAATTTGGTACCAAATTCTACCTCAAGGTAACAAAAATATTTGGCAAAACATATACCATCCATAGTGCTTCACAATATGCACTTCTATTTAGCCAGCATTTATTGTAGTAAACTATTCTTTTTTTTTTTTTTGAGACGGAGTCTTGCTCTGTTGCCAGGCTGGAGTGCAGTGACACAGTCTTGGCTCACTGCAACCTCCACCTCCTGGGTTCAAGCAAGTCTTCTGCCTCAGCCTCCCGAGTAGCTGGGACCACAGGTGAGTGCCTCCACGCCCAGCTAATTTTTGTACTTTTAGTAGAGACGGTGTTTCACCTTGTTGACCAGGATGGTCTTGATCTCTTGACCTTGTGATCGGCCCGCCTTGGCCTCCTAACGTGCTGGGATTACAGGTGAGCCGCCGCGCCTGGCAGTAAACTATTCTTAATAAGACTCATTCACTGTTTATAAATGTTCTGGTATGCATTCTTTATAGTGAAGTGTTAATACATCACATCTTATTTATTTTAGCAAATCAGTATATTTTCTGTATTTAATTATAAAAATTAACTTAGTTTTAAAAATTTATTTGCAAATACACTTTTTCCGTTTGGCACTATGGTTTGTTGCCTACCTAGCTGAATATATTATGTCAGCTTATCCCAAGGCCGTCCACGTACTTAATTTACTTAAGCGTTCATTTTAAGTAACGTGCTCATTGTGTATAGGAATTTGTATTTTGGAGGTGCTTGATCTATCTACAAAGAAAAATTAATTAGGAATTACTTTATTATAAAATGCTCCTAGAAGTCTTAATTGTGTTTATTTTTTGGCCGGGCGTGGTGGCTCAAGCCTGTAATCCCAGCACTTTGGGAGGCCGAGATGGGTGGATCATGAGGTCAAGAGATCGAGACCATCCTGGTCAACATGGTGAAACCCCGTCTCTACTAAAAATATAAAAAATTAGCTGGGCATGGTGGCGCGTGCCTGTAATCCCAGCTACTCAGGAGGCTGAGGCAGGAGAATTGCCTGAACCCAGGAGGCGGAGGTTGCAGTGAGCTGAGATTGCACCATTGCACTCCAGCCTGGGTAACAAGAGAGAAACTCCATCTCAAAAAAAAAAAAATTGTGTTTATTTTTTAATAAAAACCAATGTTAGACTTGTGTGCGTGGAAGTAATTAAGGTACATCATTGTAGTTTTAAAGTTGTACATGATGAGACATTTTGTTTTTACTGTATGTTTTTACTGAATGATCTGTTCCCCATCCCAAGGCAAGCATGAATAAAATTAGGTTAAATGTAGCATGTGGCATCGCAGTCTCTTAGAATTTGTTTCATCTATTTTATTTTATTGAATACTGTCTGTATCTTCGGTTATCTTGTTTGAAGAAAAAGGGCAAATAAAACATGGCCAGCAAAATAAATAAATAAATAAACAAACAAATCTCAGCCAGGCACGGTGGCTCATGCCCTAGCACTTTGGGAGGCCGAGGCAGGTGGATCACAAGGTCAGGAGTTCGAGACCAACCTGGCCAATATGGCGAAACACCTTCTCTACTAAAAATACAAACAAACAAACAAACAAACAAAAATTAGCTCATGGTGGCACACACCTGTAATCTCAGCTACATGGGAGGCTGAGGCAGGAGAATCGCTTGAACCTGGAAGGTGGAAGTTGCAGTGAGCCGAGATTGGGCCACTGCACTCCAGCCTAGGCGACAGAGCAAGACTATCTCAAAAAGAATAAAAAATTTAAAAATAGGCCAGGTGCAGTGGCTCATGCCTGTAATCCCAGCACTTTAGGAGGTCGAGGCAGGTGGATTACCAGAGGTCGGGAGTTCAAGACCAGCCTGACTGACTCTGTCTCTACTAAAAATACAAAATTTGCTGGGCATGGTGGTGCATGCCTGTAATCCCAGCAAATTGGAAGCTGAGGCAGGACAATCGCTTGAACCTGGGAGCAGAGGTTGTGGTGAGGCAAGATTGCGCCATTGCACTTCAGCATGGGCAACAAGAGCATAACTCCATCTCACAAAATGATAATAAAATAAAATTTAAAAATAAAAATAATCTCACTTTGGACAAGTCACCACAAGCTCTCTGTGTTTTGTTTCTTTTATCTGTAAGATGACAATAGTAAAATAATACTTGTCTACCTATTTCAGGGGTGTTGTGAAGATCAGAAACATAAAAATGAGAAAGCACGTGTGAAAACGCTTGGCAAACTGAATGATCTTATGATTGAAAGAGGAGGAAAAAGATGACCTAATGAGTCCACTTTCTCCACCAGACGGAAATTTTGAAGTATTGATAATAGCGGTCTTTTCCTTGTCCAAATTTCATAAATAATAACACATAGTCATTTTGCTACATTCCATGTTGACCCATATGTTCTGATGACCATTTGTGTTGCAGAACATTCTCATCCTTACAGTTTCAAATTTCTATTTTACTTGAGGACATTTTCATGAACTGTCTTCTGACTGTTTCCGAGACATCCTCCTATGCAGATTGGTCTCATCCATACTGTGGTAACTTCAGAGGGCATCTCTTTTATCACTTTTGACCATTTACCTAATTTTTATTTCTATCCTGTTTGAGGTCTGTCGCCTCCTGGTACTCAGTGGAGATTTAATTTCAGAATAGGAAGTTTCAAACTTGTAGAAGGGATTATATTTCAAAAGTTCACTCATAAATTGGTTGTTTGGGGTCAAGTGAAGTGGCTCACACCTGTAATCCCAGCACTTTGGGAGGCCAAGGTGGGCATATCATTTGAGGGAGGAGCTTGAGGCCAGCCTGGCCAACATGGCAAAACCCCACCTCTACTAAACATACAAAAAATTAGCTTGGCATGGTGGTGCAGGCCTGTAATTCCAGCTACTCAGGAGGCTGAGGCACCAGAATTGCTTGAACCTGGGAGTCAGAGGTTGCAGTGAGCTGAGGTTGTACCAGTGTATGCCAGCCTGGGCGACAAAGAGAGACTTGATCTTAAATAAATAAATGAATAGATTTGTTTGGGATTCATTCTTTATGATTTCATAAAAATGTGTGTCATGAATGATGATTCATTCCCCAAACTAAACTACAAATATCAGTTTGATCTTTGCGTAGCTCAAATAGTACAGAGTATTAGATTAAATTTTAGATGTGGGAACCAACTGCTATGTTATGAAGGAAGGAGGACGTTTCTTTTTCTCTAGGAGGCTAACCAAAGGCAAAGTTTCGAATTAGGTCAGGTTGATCTTTGGCATCTCTCCTCTCCCTTAATCTCTCAGTTTTCCTTGTCCCAATTTCTAAGAGCTAATGTCCTTAATTGCCCCAAGTCCCACAGTGCCTAGCACTATATTCACTCCACCCTGAGTGTTTCAAACTTCAAAATGACTTAAGTCCAGTATTCCCCATTGTAGCTGCTGCGGACAGCAGGGTGTCACATGTTAAGAGGAAAACAATTTGATTGAATTAATTTGCATTAATGTTGAAAGCTCAAAACCCTGCCAGAGGCTTTTGAGTTTGTTTTTTGTTTGTTTGTTTGTTTTGAGACTGTGTCTGGCTCTGTCTCCCAGACTGGAATGCAGTGGTGTGATCTTGGCTCACTACAACGTACTCCTCCAGGGTTCAAGGGATTCTTCTGCCTCAGCCTCCCGAGTAGCTGGGACTAAAGGTGTGTGCCTCCATGCCTGGCTAGTTTTTGCATTTTTAGTAGAAATGGGGTTTTGCCATGTTGGCCAGGCTGGTCTTAAACTTATGACCTTGTGATCCACCCACCTCAGCCTCCCAAAGTGCTGGGATTACAGGAGCGAGCCACTGCACCAGGCACTTTTGAGTTTTTCAGAGTTTTTCAGGCTGGTTGCAGTGGCTCACGCCTCTAACTGCAGCAGTTTGAGAGGCCGAGGTGGGTGGATCACCTGAAGTCAGGAGTTCAAGACCAGCCTGGCCAACGTGGTGAAACCTCATCTCTACTAAAAATACAAAAAAAAAAAAAAAAATTTGCTGGACGAGGTGGTGGGCATCTGTAATCCCAGCTACTCAAGAGGCTGAAGCAGGAGAACTGCTTGAACCCGGGAGGTGGAAATCCATCCCCCCCAAAAAAAAAAACAGTTTTTCTTCACATAATTTTTCAATGTGGAAGTTTAGAAAGTATCGTAAAGTGAGTGAAATATTCAGGTCATGTTAGCATATATATAACTTACTGTACCTGTGTTACATCCTGAGAGCCTATCCACTTATTTCCCAGCTTTAGTCTAGTTTTTAAAGTTTTTAGGGGATTGCCAGTTTATAAAGAGGAACTGCCTACACCAATCTATTGATCAGAAACTATATGACAAAATGATTGGGTGAGAGAAGGGAAGAAAGGGAGAAGCAGAGAAACTTCAGGTTGAGGTTAAGAACCACTGCCCAGCAGCTGTGGGGGAATAGGCATTCTCACACTGTGTGGATAGGTATGCATAATGGAACCAAACTCTAGAGAGGGTAATTAAGCAGTAACTATCAAACCTTTGATGCAGCAATCCTGCTCCTTGGAATTTATCTTATTGATAAATTGCAGGTGCACAAAAAGAATATATATAGATTCTGAATGCTAGCGAAAAAGGGGGAAATAATTTATTAAAAGAAAAAAGGAAAACAGGCATGGTGGCTCAGTCCTGTAATCCCAGCACTTTGGGAGGCCAAGGTGGGCAGATCACCTGACATCAGAAGTTTAAAACTAGCCTGACCAACATGGAGAAACCCCATCTTTATTAAAAGTACAAAATTAGCTGGGCATGGTGGCACATGCCTGTAATCCCAGCTACACAGGAGGCTGAGGCAGAATTGCTTGAACCAGGGAGGTGGATGTTGCAGTGAGCTGAGATCAAGCCATTGCACTCCAGCCTTGGCAACAAGAAACTCTGTCTCAAAAAAAAAAAGAATAAAGAATAAAATAATAATATATACCGTCATTGTTTGCAGCACTGTTTGTATTTCCAAAAGATTGCAAATAACCAAAATACATATCAGTAGGGGACAGAATATAGAAGAGACATTCTGTGGAATAACATACAACTGTTAAAAAGAATGAGGCAAATTATGGGACACATATATACATATTGAAATGAAACAACCTATAAGACATATTATTAAATGGAAAAGCAAGGGGTGTGGCCAGGCGCAGTGGCTAGCACTTGTAATCCTAGCACCTTGGGAGGCTGAGGCGGGCAAATCACTTGAGGTCAGGAGTTCAACACTACCCTGGCCAACATGGTGAAACCCTGTCTCTACTAAAAATACAGAAATTCACTGGGTGTGGTGGCAAGCACCTGTAATCCCAGCTAATTAAACTGAGACAGGAGAATCATGTGAACCTGGGAGGAGGAGGTTGCAGTGAGATGAGATCACACCACTGCACTTCAGCCTGGGTGACAGAGTGAGACTCCATCTCCAAAGGGGGAAAGAAAAAAACAGGAAAAAGCAAGGGGCAGAACGATGTATATGGCATGCTATCATTTATGTTTTTAAAATACGTACATTCATATATTCTTAGAGTATCTCTGGAAGGAAATGTAATAAGTTGATAATAGTGGTTCCATCAGGGATAGAGAACTGGAGAACTGAGAGACCAGAGTAGGAGAGGGACTTACCTTTCACTATAAATCTGTACTGTTTGAATATTTTACTATGTGCATTAAAATGAAATTTTAAAAAAACTGGCCAGGCGTGGTGGCTCACGCCTGTAATCCCAGCAGTTTGGGAGGTCAAGGCAGGCAGATCACTTGAGGTCAGGAGATCGAGACAAGCCTGGCCAATGTGGTGAAATCTTGTCTCTACTAAAATTACAAAAATTAGCTGGCCATGATGGCAGACACCTGTAATCCTAGCTACTTGGGAGGCTGAGGCAGGAGAATCACTTGAACCTGGGAGGCAGAGGTTGCAGTGAGCCGAGATCATGGCACTGCACTCCAGCCTGGGTGACAGAGACTCCATCTCAAAGAAAAAAGAAATTTTGAAAAACTGCAAGAGAAGACCCATCAGAAAAGGAGATCACGTGAAAATCACAGCGTATCAGGGCTAAAAGGGATCTATAAAACTGACTCCCAGAGAGCACGTAGATTTGCCCAAGGGGAGGATAATTCATTTCCTTGTAGCTCTTTCTGCTACTGAACTCCAGCTGCCTTCAAGAATGTCAACTAAAAGTTAGTGCCTGCCCCCTTCCTCTTTTCCAGTCTCACCTTTGCCTGTTAGAAGAGATCCAGTCTGAAACATGGATGTGGGGACTAGGTGACAGCTTGAGGAGGCAGAGCTGTTTCTGTGGGGAGCGGCAATGATTCGCAGGTTCTTCAGAATATGCTTGACCTTTAGCCTTCTCTCCAAATATACAAGGTTGACTTTTACTTTGCTGCCAGACCCAAGGCACTGCAGGGTAGCTACAGTCTGATTTTGGATGAATGTTGGCCTTTTGGTTTCTGTGTGAGTTTCTGGAAGAAGAACCAGACAGAAAAATGAAGCTGGTTTCGTTTTTTGTTTGGTTGGCTTTTTGAGATGGGGCCTCGCTCTGTCACCCAAGCTGGAGTGCAGTGGTGTGACCGTGGCTGACTCTAGCCTCAAACTCCCTCAATTTCCAAGTAATCCTCCCACTTCAGCCTCTTGAGTAGCTGGGACTACAGGTTTATGCCACTGTAGTGGCTAATTTTTTAAAAAGACCGGGTCTTGCTATGTTGCCCAGGCTGGTCTCGAACTCCCGGGCTCAAGCAATCCTCCCACCTTGGCCTCTCAAAGTGCTGGGATTACACACGTGAGTCAGGGCACCTGACCTTGAAGCTTTTGCTCTTGTTGCCCAGGCTGGAGGGCAGTGGCATGATCTCAGCTAACTGCAACCTCTGCTTCCCAGGTTCAAGTGAGTCTCCTGCCTCAGCCACTCCCAAATAGCTGGGGTTACAGGCTTGTGCCACTACACCCAGCACATTTTTGTATTTTTAGTAGAGATGGGGTTTTACCATGTTGGTCAGGCCAGTCTCAAACTCCTGACCTCAAGTGATCCATCTGCCTCAGCCTCCCAAAGTGCTGGGATTATAGGCATGAGCCACTGTGCCCAGCCGAAGCTGGTTTTTAATCTGAACAGTGCCAAGCTAACCCACTTCCATTCATGACTCCTGTTAAATTCCACTGCTGTACTTTCTCCTCCTTTTAATTAACTTCTTCTTCAGTGTATGTTCTTTTTCTTTTTTTTTTTAAGATGAGGTTTCACCATGATGGCCAGGCTGGTCTTGAACTCCTGACCTCAGGTGATCCACCCACCTCGGCCTCCCAAAGTGCTAGGATTACAGGCCTTAGCCACCGTGCCAGGCCTCAGTGTATGTTCATAGTACGAATATACAAGTCCTGCCTTTCTTCCTGCCATGGTTCCCATGAAGCTAGGTGACAGCAGTAAATTTAGCACAGAGAAATGCTCATAGATTTTCTTTAATGCAGAAAGGGGTAGGTGCTGCCTCCTTTTCTTCATCTCCATCCGTTTGAGTAATATAGGCATGCCTTAGGTAATAACAGTTAATTTAAAGATTGGTTTCCAAAAAACCTCTTGGGAGGATACATATCCTTAAAATAGGATATTTGAGATATGGGCTAGGAAGTAGGAAGATGAGACATCTTTTAAAGGTAAAAATTTTTTGGAACGACAATATCATTTTCCCAAAAGGACCCATTCCCTACCTTGCATTTGCAATTCTTTGATGCTTCTCACGTCCTTTGGGAAGAGCCCAGGCAGCTGTTCCACTTGGCAACTGCTATCTCTGAGGTCTGGGGGAGAGCAGCGGGGGAGGAGGGGAACTGGGGGAGGATTGGGGAAAGTCAGAATTTACTGGTACTTACTTTTTAGAATTCTGGGCAATGGAGGAGAAGATACGAAAGAATGCAGTTCCTGCTCGTAAAACTTGCAACTTGGGAGATTAAATACTCTCTAAAAAGACTTTATTTATTTTTTATAGAGATGGGGTTTCACTGTGTTAGGCAGAATAGTCCTGATCTTCTGACCTCATGATCTGCCCTCCTCGGCCTCCCAAAGTGCTGGGATTACAGGCGTGAGCCACCAAGCCCAGTCTATTTATTTATTTTTGAGATGGAGTCTCGCTCTGTAGCCCAGGCTAGAGTGTAGTGGTGTGATCTAGGCTCACTGCAACCTCCGCCTCCCGGATCCCGGTTCAAACAATTCTCCTACCTCAGCCTCCCAAGTAGCTGAGATTACAGGCACGAGCCACCATGCCCAGCTAATTTTTGTATTTTTTAGTAGAGACAGGGTTTCATCATGTTGGCCAGTCTGGTCTTGAACTCCTGACCTTGTGATCCACCTGCCTCAGTCTCCCAAAGTGCTGGGATTACAGGCGTGAGCCACCGCACCTGGATATTTATTTATTTTTTGAGACAGAGTCTCACTCTATCACCCAGGCTGGAGTGTAGTGACACAATCTTTGCTCATTGCAACCTCTTCCTCCTGGGTTCAAGCAATTCTCCTGCCTCAGCCTCCTGAGTAGCTGGGAATATGGGCATGCACCACCACACCCAACTAATTTTTGTATTGTTAGTAGAGATGGGGTTTCACCATGTAGCCAGGCTGGTCTCAAACTCCTGACAGGTGATCCACCCACCCCGGCCTCCCAAAGTGCTAGGATTACAGGCATGAGCCACCACACCTGGTCCTCAAAAAAGTCTTTAGAATACAGTCAAATACATACAGAGTAGTTGTTGACCTAGAATAAAGAACACCGAGTACCAGCCGGGCATGGTGGCTCACGCCTGTAATCCCAGCATTTTGGGAGACCGAGGCAGTTGGATCATGAGGTCAGGAGTTGAAGGTGGTGAAATCCTGTTTCTACTAAAAACTACAAAAATTAGCCCGGCGTGGTGGCCAGTGGCAGGAACCTATAATCCCAGCTACTTGGGAGGCTGAGACAGAAGGTTTGCGTGAACCTGGGAGTTGGACGTTGCAGTGAGCAGAGATAGTGCCATTGCACTCCAACCCGAGTGACAGTATGAGACTCAGTTTAAAAAAAAAAAAGAATACTGAGTACCAATCTATTACCCTTAGGAGAAAGAAAGGTGAAATAGAGTTAAGAAAACTTAGTAAGTTAATGAAAGACTAACCAACCCATTCCCTTAAACGCCACTTATTTTCTCTTCTCCCTCCTGTTCTATCTGCTTTCTTGTATTAAATAAAACTTTTGGAGATTTATAATGTCTGACCTTGGACAAGGATTCTCTATAGGTTTCCACAGAAGCATAGGTCTTAGTTATTTATGCTTTTTGTCACATAATTCACACGGTTGTGACATTTTTATAATTTGTTGAATTTGTTATTGCTGCACCTTGTGCCATTGGCCTTAATTCTAATTAGCTAATTTTATTTATTTTATTTTTATTTTTTTAGAGTCTCACTGTGTTACCTAGGCTGGAGTGCAGTGGTATGATCTCAGCTCACTGCAACCTCCACCTCTCAGGTTCAAGTGATTCTTGTGCCTCAGCCACCCGAGTAGCAAGGATTACAGGTACATGCCACCAGGCCTGGCTAATTTTTGTATTTTTAGTAGAGTTGGGGTTTCACCATGTTGGCCAGGCTGGTCTAGAACTCCTGGCCACAAGTGATCCACCAGTCTTGGTCTCCCAAAGTGCGGGTATTACAGGCATGAGCCTTGTATTATCAAGGCGCAGCCTTGATTAGCTAATTTTTGAGATGAAATGTTTATGAAACTTTGAAAAATCATATTTTAAATAAGCAGTTACCAAAGAGCAGCAAATGATGCCATTCCACCCCCATATCACCCTTTCCCTCAACTCTCTCCACCCAAGAACATCATCATCTAGCTATTTATGTGTACCACCTTGAAAAAAAGGACAATATCGGCCGGGCGCGGTGGCTCACGCCTATAATCCCAGCACTTTGGGAGGCCGAGGCGGGTGGATCACGAGATCAAGAGATCGAGACCATCCTGGTCAACGAGGTGAAACCCCGTCTCTACTAAAAATACAAAAATTAGCTGGGCATGGTGGCGTGTGCCTGTAATCCCAGCTACTCGGGAGGGTGAGGCAGGAGAATTGCTTGAACCCTGAAGGCGGAGGTTGCAGTTAGCTGAAATCGTGCCATTGCACTCCAGCCTGGGTAACAACAGCGAAACTCCGTCTCAAAAAAAATATATATATATATGGACAATATCTTATGAACAGTTATGAATTTGGGAATCTTAGGTGATAACAATACTGTAACTCTAAAGAAACTCTAAAGCCATCGGACAGTGAAAAGACTTTTAATTACATGAACAAGACATAAGAGTGCACCACATTCTCTGCAGAGCTCTCATCATGAAACAGACAGCTATCTCTCTGGAATGAATAAATTGTAGTCTTTCTTAGAGGAGAGTGGATACATGGGATTACCTCTGGAAAGTATTGCTTGCTGGATATTAGCTAATCTCTATCTGGTGGAAGAGACCCCTAAACACTTTCTAGGCTTCTCTCTGTATTCTCCAGGAGAATTACAGAGAATTACTTACCTTTCTTGTTGGCATCATAGTATGCAATGATTAGGCTGAAGACCAAGATGGTATCCATGTTAGCTTGAGCACATGCTCATTGAAGACAGACCACTGCTAATCTGTCACAGCCCCTGATAGCCCTGACTCTAGTTGCTTTCATCACAATTGGAACGAAGTTTGACCCTGAGAGACTCTGATTTCACCCTGATTGTTTTACCCTATTTCCTGAAGACCCAGGAATAGAGCTGATTGGAGAAAGGGCTAATTCTGCTTATTAATAATTTACTCAGAGGTCTTCTTTTGCCTTCGCTTCTGGTGCTGATATAGAGAACTGAATTACCTAGAGGTTTCTCGAGCAGGAAGGGCATAGATGCCCATTGATATGCTTTACAAACAAATACTTGCAGATAGACACGTAGACATTTACATGCATGCTCACTTACACAGCCACATAAATTTATATACTTTCTTGAAAAGATGTGCAGATTTCTAGTAAGTAATATAATTTCTAGACTAGAGCAGGAAACTAGGACTAGGAATCAGAACAATTGAGTTTTAGTACAGGCCTTGTTATTAACTATATCACCTTGGGAAAATTACTTGACTTCTTGGGATCTAAATGTTCTCCTCCATAAATTGAGAAACCTTAACCATATGCTCTCTCTCTCTCTCTCTCTCTCTCTCTCTCTCTCTCTCTCTCTCTCTCTCTCTCTCTCTTTGAAATGGAGTCTCGCTTTGTTGCCCATGCTAGAGTGCAGTGGCATGATCTCGGCTCACTGCAACCTCCGTCTCCTGGGTTCAAGTGATTTTCCTGCCTCAGCCTCATGAGTAAATGGAATTACATGTGTGCACCACTGCTCCAGCTAATTTTTGTATTTTTGTTAGAGACGGGTTTCACCATGTTGGCCAGGCTGGTCTCAAACTCCTGACCTCAAGTGATCCGCCTGCCTTGGCCTCCAAAAGTGCTGGGATAACAGGCGTGAGCCGCCCTGTCTGGCCCTGAACCATATGATGTCTAGAATTCACAGTTACATACATAAATTCACATTTGCACAGACATATCTGCTGAGTTTTGCACATCTTCACACTCCTGAATAGTGAAGTATTGGTGGACAACATTCCTATGACCATTGGGCTGAGAGGTTGTGAGGAAGAGCTAAATACAGTAGGTGAGTGGTACTGTCTGATTTGGTAAAGTTTTCCTAGACAGATAACTGTTGTTGAAGATTTTTCCAAAATTGTATTTTTTAGTATCTAGTGTAATAATCTATGGACTTTGTGATGGCATAGATAGACGGAGCACAAAAGAGAATGAAAATCCACTTGGTCTTTATCACAGTCCAGAGCTTCTTTGATCTGATTTTGTTGTGGAGACAGGGTTATTTTTTGTAGAGATAGGGTATCACTGTGTTGCCCAGGCTGGTCTCAAACTCCTGAGCTCCAGCAATTCGCCTACCTTGACCTCCCAAAGTGCTCGAATTACAGGTGTGAGCCACTACATCCGGCCTAGATAACATTTTTCAAAAAGTTTTGTGTGAGAAAGAGACCAGATAAATCAGGTTGCTGATTAGACGGAACATAAATGCTTCACATCTTTATTGATCCAAGTAAATATTTATTCATCCCTCCCAACTGCCTGCTTCTCTTAGCAGAGGAAGTGATTAGGACAGAGGCGCTCCATTGACTTCCTTGAGTTTTGTGATTTTTGCTATTTCCTTAACATGATGACGTGATTCTCTGCTCCTCTGAGATATTATCATTACCTTCCCTCCTGTTGGCTCTATTTGAAGCTTTCTGTACATTAGTTCCTAGATGCCATGGTACAATGCTGCCACCTTGGAGCAGGAGTAGAAATTACAAAGAAATTGATCTGAGTTCTTGCTGTTCTCATTAGTGTCACAAGGTGGCAAAAGAGCTCACTTTTCCCAAAAGAGACCTTGTGCTTGGCCAAAGATGAAATCCAAGAATTTTTTTTGATCACCTCTCCACTCTATCCTTTTCTTTTGTAACTTAGAGGCTCTAAAGTCAGCCCAGGCTGGGCGTGGTGGTTCACGCCTGTAATCCCAGCACTTTGGGAGGCTGAGGTGGATGGATCATTTGAGGTCAGGAGTTCTAGACCAGCCTAACCAACATGGTGAAACCCCGTCTCTACTAAAACTACAAAATTAGCCAGGAGTGGTGGCCCCCGTCTCTAATCCCAGCTGCTTAGGAGGCTGAGGCGGGAGAATCATTTGAACTTGGGAGGCAGAGTTTGCAGTGAGCAGACAGCATGCCACTGCACTCCATCCTGGGCAACAGAGCAAGACTCCATCTCAAAAAAAGTCAGCCTGCATATTTGAGTAGGCCATACTGTTGGGCACAGAGAAGCAGAAGAACTGCAGTTAATCAGTCAAAATAGCCAAGCGTAGGCCCAGCGCAGTGGCTCACGCCCATTATCCCAGCACTTAGGGAGTCTGAAGCAAGTGGATCACTTGAGGTCAGGAGTTCAAGACCAGCCTGGCCAACATGGTGAAACCCCCATCTCTACTAAAAATACAAAAATTAGCTAGGCATGGTAGCACATGCCTATAGACAAAACTCCTTCTCAAAAAAAAAAAAAAATCCAAGAGTAGAGAATAGATCCATGTTTCTATTATTTCTAATAGACTATTTCTCTACTCGTAGATATTTTGACTGATTTTTTTTTTTTTTTTGAGATGGAGTTTCTCTCTTGTTACCCAGGCTGGAGTGCAATAGCGAGATCTCGGCTCACTGCAACCTCCGCCTCCTGGGTTCAAGCAATTCTCCTGCCTCATCCTCCCGAGTAGCTGGGACTACAGGCATGCACCACCATGCCCAGCTAATTCTTGCATTTTTAGTAGACATGGGGTTTCACCTTGTTGACCAGGATGGTCTAGATCTCTTGACCTCGTGATCCACCCGCCTTGGCCTCCCAAAATGCTGGGATTATAGGCGTGAGCCACTGCGCCCTGCCTATTTTCACTGATTTTCTAAGTGTTTGGAATATCAGTGGAGTACAGTGTATCTCTTCTGATCTCCTTTTCTCACGACAAAAACATCAAATTTAGAGGGAAAAATTATGAGTTTTATGACATATGCAGTTTAGGGATAAGACATTGGAAGAGAGTAGAAACTGAGACCAAATGGATGAATCAGGATGGTTCTGCAGGAGGAGCACTTGACAGGAAGCCAGGAGGCCTACCCTAGGCTCTGTAATTGACTAAATCTATTGGAGCAAGTCACTTGCCTTCTCTGGGCCTCTGTTTTGGTTTCTGTAATGAGATGGTTGGACAAAATGGCTTCCAAGACCTCTTCTAGCTTTAAAATTACCTTCCCTGCACACTATGCAACTCTTTTGTAAAGGTTGTGTGCCTTTTTGTTCATTTGTTTTGGTTTGTTTTTAAATTTAAAAAGTTTTTTTGGCTGGGCGCTGTGGCTCACGCCTATTATCCCTGCACTTTGGAAGGCCAGGTCGGGTGGATCACCAGGTCAGGAATTCAAGACCAGCCTGGCCAATATGGTGAAACCCGTCTCTACTAAAAATACAAAAATTAGCAGGGCCTGGTGGCAGGCACCTATAAGCCCAGCTACTCAGGAGGCTGAGGCAGGAGAATCGCTTGAATGAGGGAGTTGGAAGTTGCAGTGAGCCAAGATTGTGCCACTGCACTCCAGCCTGGGTGACAGAGCAAGATTCTGTCTCAAAAAAAAAAAAAATTCATAACGGAGACAGGGTCTTACTACGTTGCCCAAGCTAGTCTTGAACTCCTGGGCACATGTAAATCTCCCACGCCAGCCTCTCAAAGTGCTGAGATTATAAGGATGCGCCACTAGCACGGCCGTTTTTTTTTTTTTTCCCTTTCCTTTCTCTTTTTTTTTTTTGAGACGGAATCTTGCTCTGTTGCCCAGGCTGGAGTATGGTGGCATGATCTCAGTGGTGCGATCTTGGCTCACTGCAACCTCTGCCTCCCGGGTTCAAGCGATTCTACTGCCTCAGGCTCTCAAGTAGCTGGGATTACAGGCGCCTGTCACTACGCCTGACTAATTTTTGTATTTTTAGTAGAGACAGGGTTTCACCATGTTGGTCAGGCGGGTCTTGAACTCCTGACCTCAAGTGATTCTCCCCCCTCAGCCTCCCAAAGTGCTGGCATTATAGGTGTGAACTACCGAGCCAGGCTGCAGCAGTGTTTTAGTTGTAGAATATATCATATATACAGAAAAATATATAGAACATAAGTATATTTTTAATAATAATAATAAAGAAAAGGTGAACACTATGTTATCATCACCCAAATTAAGAAATTGAACATTGCCAGCATCATGGATGCTCTTTACATGTCTGTGCCTCTGGTCCTCTGGTCTCTTTCTTCCTCCCAATCTTTATTTTTCCATGCTTTGTAAAAACAATAAACTTTCTATATATGTATCACTAAAAATATTTTGTTTATTTTTGAATATTATATAAATGGAATCAAACTCTATTTCTTTTTTTTGAAAGTCTCGCTCTGTAGCTGAGCGTGGTGGCATGTGCCTGTAGTCCCATCTACTTGGGAGGCTGAGGCAAGAGAATTGCCTGAACCCAGGAGGCGGAGGTTGCAGTGAGCCGAGATTGCTCCATTGCACTCCAGCCTGGGTAACAAGAGCGAAACTGTCTCCAAAAAAAAAAGGTCTCACTCTGTCGCCCAGGCTGGAGTACAGTGGCGCGATCTTGGCTGACCACAACCTCTGCCTGCCAGGTTCAAGTAATTCTTCTGCCTCAGCCTCCTGAGTAGCTGGGATTACAGATACATGCCACCATGCCTGGCTAAGTTTTATATTTTTAGTAGAGATGGGGTTTCACCATGTTGGTCAGGCTGATCTTGAACTCTTGACCTTGTGATCCGCCTTCGCCTCCCAAAGTGCTGGGATTACAGGTGTGAGCCACTGTGCCCAGCAACTCTATGTATTTTTATTTATTTATTTATTTAGAGGTGGAGTCTCACTCTGTTGCTCAGGCTGGAGTGCAGTGGCATGATCTCCGCTGATTGGAACCTCCATCTCCTGGGTTCAAGTGATTCAGCCTCCAGAGTGGCTGGGATTACAGGCATGTACCACCATGCCCAGCTGATTTTTGGATTTTTACTAGAGACGAGGTTTCCCCATGTTGGCCAGGCTGGTCTCCAACTCCTTATCTCAGGGTGATCCCTCCTCTTTGGCCTCCCAAAGTGCTGGGATTACAGGCATGAGCCACCATGCCTGGCCTATGTATTTTAAAGTAAACTTTTATGATGTATAGCACAAAGTGAATGTACCTTAGTAATTTTTTTAC